GATTTTCACTAAATGTGCAGTAATATTTGATAAAATTATGTCATTTGGTGAACTTACTTAACTTTTTAACGAAATTTAGATAAAGGTAAATTTATATACTTATAAACTAACATTTAAATTACAACATAAATCACATGTACATAAAGAATTTAATTCAACATTATAATCTGAAAAATAAATACATTTAGATAAAATAAACAAATAAACCGATGAGGAAAGTTTGATATATTTACTGCCTTGAGAGTAGTAAAGGTAATATGACTGATAAATCGCACGCCAACATAAGTTTCGAGTTATTCTGTGGCTGATATATGGTCTATGCCACGATGTAACCACTTAGTTGTCTTCTAAATAACTGTATGTGATAGCTACAAAGTTCTCAAAGAAGCTTTAAAATCGGTCTTTTTTATGCACAATTTCACCGGACATAATAGCTTATTTTTGTCCAATACTCTTATATGAGCAATGTTTGTTTGTATGCTTAATTGCACAAAGATCTCGAAAACGGCTTCGACGATTTCCTTCAAATGTTGTTAATAGTTGTTAATTTATGGCCTAAAACCATGTTTAATGCAGTTAACTAACCCAATTACGTAAAAACATTTGATTGAAAGTAAAAACTTTTTAGCTTTAGCCTTATGGGTTGCTACGTAACCACGTTGGTTGAACAAACGAACAAGGAAAAAATAAACAAACAACTTGTAAGTTGTAACATGGGTTCATAATAAACCATCCACCCACAGTATACTAGCAAAATACAAAATTCAGTAAAAGGAAAAACATAAGTTGTTACTACTGAGTAAAGATTAAACTGAAGATAGCTCGATAATATGGGTGAAAATAGTTCCAAGTTCCGATCAATTACTGATTATTAAAGTCTCTCCTACCAAAACTTAATTCCTAAAGTAATCAGCTGTTTTAATTTAAACAAAATGTAAAAACAATGTTTATTCAAGTATAGGCTGTTATAAACTAGCGACCTTTCATCGAATAAAAAAAAAACTAACGTATTAAGGATTGCCAGGTTAAAATTTCCATGATAATACATTGAAATTCCACCGAAACTTAAATAATAAAAAGCAAAATAGTTGTAAATAAAACGTAAGTATTTTATATTGCTTTTACAATCGAAATAAACTACACCGAGCCCTGGCTCGGTCCTCAGGTACTACATCTAAATGATTGTTAGATGGAAAAGAAAACTAAGATTTAAAATTTAAAAGTATTTCAAAGATTATGGGAACTATTAATAAATTTATTTATATCCAAGTGGATAATTCCCTGGTAGATATAATGTTTTAGTTCAAATATCCGGGGAATTTAGATTCTGTAAAAACTGTTTGTTCACATAAAATCGTTCCACGTTTTCGTATTCTTACTATGATTTTAATAGATTTGTCTAATGATTATATACGATACTATTTGTAAACATAAATAGTAAGAGAGTGGGTTTTTAAAGTGTCGTGTTCAATAAAGAAGTTTTGTTTCACATTAACCCTCTAATTAAAGTGTTATGTCTGTCACACATCTATGCTTAGGAAGGGATGCACAGTAAGCCGATTACTCATTCCCTTCTCCACATCTCCTCAATTATGTAATACAAACAGCTTAACACCACTATTTGTTTATATCACCTTAACCCTATCTTATAAAAAAAAAAAACCAACTGTGGCTCTGGTGTTTTAAAACCATACTTTGAACGTTAATTAAAATTAAGCACAGGTAGAATGAATGACAAAATAAAATAAAATATTATGTTGTAGATACCACTAGCTTTAATATTGAGTTAACAGAAAATCCATGAAAAATGAGAAGTGTATTGAACAAATTGTTTTATCGTTTAGTTCCAAGCAACCTTAGATTAACTACATATTGAATCCTGGTGAAGTCTTTAAGGGTCTTCATCGAAGATGAATTTTATATTCTTTTCTTGTTAACTCAAATAGGTTATTCAGATAAAAACGATCCGGATCGATTTTTTTCATTAACCTCATTGTGTATAACATTTTCCTTACCAATAGTAAAGTTTGAAGTGTTAAAGTGTTTAAAGTAACTACACCATTTAGTATTCCATAAAGGTAATAATTAATCATTATCAGTTTAAATAAAATTTGTGGTGTTTCAAACCTCATTAACAATCTGCTCTCCTATCAAAGCAATAGATTATATTTTTACCCGAGACACAATTTGGTTATAAGAATTTCAAGGACCTGTACTGCAAGTGTAACAAGCACTAGGGTTTGGATTTGTAAAGGGTAGTTATAGAATATAAAACCATTAAATAAATGTGATGCGTGACAGACTGAAAATTTGTCCTAATTCCCTTTATTGAAAAGTAAGAGTGGAGTTGAGGTAGTTTCTATGGAGTAATAATTCTAGTTACACGACTAATAGTAGGTCTATTCATCTATTGAATGCTTGAAACTTGTGAGTGATTAATTAGTTTAGCTGCCTTTACCAACGACAGATTGTGTTATTCACCGGGTATATGATCCGTGGGTTTTCTCCCTTCACGGCTTAAATAAGGGGGCTTATACACTAAATTATATATATTTAAATAACTTTTTGTTAACCAAGACTACAATAATAATTAATTGGCCCTATTACTGTACAAACTGGATTCATAAAACCAATGGTTCACAACATGTTCATGGACTATACATATATATATGTATATTTTGGAAACTATTATTTATGCGAAAAATATTACAAAAACTCAGGTATCAAACAAAATTAGTCATAATAACACTAGTTCTCAATCTCAAATTGATAGACACAATCTAGAATTTTATAAAAAGAAAACGAAATTCACAGGAAATTAATTTATGTCCCATGTTCCAAAAACACTTCTAACTGAAAATTATACAAAAAAGTTTAAAAATGGTCTGAAACAGTATTTGATTAAAATTGCCCCTTATTCTCTTGAAGAGTTTTGGGAGAACAAATAAAATAAATATTTTTAGTTCAATGTAAAACATTTTATTTTGTAAGATCTGACTCTATTCCTGTACAATTGTACTTAAATGAATAAAGGATATTTTGATTGATTGATTGAATGTAATCCAGGTACTCAAGGTAAAGAAGTTTTTCGTCAGATATTACGAAAACTTGAAGAATGCTATTTTCCCTGTTCCACAGAATTATAGAAAGATCAAAAGGGAACTTTATGAACGAGAAATTGTTGTATACATATTAAAAATAACCACGTGTTGCGCATGCAGTAGAACCATCGAAGTATATAACACACTCATCGAAGTATATAACACACTCATCGAAGTATATAAACACAACTTGTGTTATATACTTCGATGAGTAGAACCGATGAGTAGAACACCATGATGGTCATTTGGGTGAGCTAGTGTACTAAAATCCATTTCCATTTTAGCTCCTAAACAGAATAAAATTGGCTGTATATACATTTATTATTACAGATACAGGTCAAATTAGGATCATGTATGTTGAAATGTTTCAACTTGTTTCCATCGTTGTGTTAAACTACAGTATATTTTGGATTAAAGTTTAGACTTTTTCCATTGTGTATAACACTATTGTTTTCAAGAATATTTTTGAAGCTTTATTGAATTACTAGAGGAGCCCCTTAGCATTTACATTCTACAGAAATTCGTGAAGATAGGAGATTTTTGCTTTTGTGATAACATATTTGTTACAATAATAGGTTAATGGTGTATTGCTTGTGATAGGTCTATCCACCCTTTTGCATACAACATTGATATGTTGGTGAGTTGGTTACGCAGTTGGTAGCGCGATGATAGTGATGTTGTTGGTTCAAATCCCGGTGATCCCGAAGTCAGAAAAGTTTATTCGTGTTATAGCTTTGTTCTTACTTATTCTTTGTAGTTTATTGTGTTATTCATAGTATTTATTCATAGCTATTTATAGTATCCAATCATATTTTACTTTTCTTTATACGCACATGCTTTGAAGCCCACGTTTACGGGCTACTTAAAAAGCATGAGAATATCTTCAATTAAATTTGAAAATTAAGTTTTATCTTGGTAACAGTTAAAAGTGTTCAATATACATTTCACTCAAGGTAATTGGGAAAGTGTAAATTCAACACGAATATTTACACTGTTAAAAGCTTACAACAACAACGGCTGTTTAAAGAGACAACACCGTAACATCGTAGGGACAAGGCGGGCTTAATTGTTAAACACCAAGCCGTGCTACGATGATGCTTAGGTCTTGAAACCTCTTACCTAACAAAACCTTCCCCTCCACCCTCTCTCAAAGCCTCAATCTCTGTCTCGTTCCTGGGTTATATATTTCTCTTAGAGTCAATGTCTCTTGAACTCTCTAAAATCTATGTATCAATACAAATTATACAAATTACACATAGTTTGTAAAATCTTCTAGTATCTATCGTTGAATAGAATAATACTAGAGGTCGTCCAGTGGTCCAAAATTCGGATAAAAATGTATGTAGTGTGCAGACTTCTCTATTTTCACCTTACGTTGTAAATACAACATGTGATTGGAATTTCTTCCATTTGTTTTAATTTCTGTTATATTGCGTTGATATTTCGTTACTAGCATGGCAACCCATAAGGTCCATGTTATTTTTTTATTTGAAATTATTTTTTTTGTGTTTATTTTTGAGCCTATTTTAATTTATGAAGGGATTCTACACGTCTACAGGAAAATACCTTCACGAGCTGAGAAAATTGTTTAAAAAGAAACATGCTTGCCTAATAATATATAGATAATAACTAAGCTCAAATGTTATAATAACTTTTAATTTTCCTGTTTATCCCATTTCAGTTAAAGGAGTTATGAGGATTCAATTGCAGCCGAAGTGAAAGAAGTTCGAAGTATTATATAATCCCAATGGGCGGAGATAGCTAGTTAACGTCTTGTACCTTTGCTTTTAAATGTACACAACTGCTGTTCCCAATAAATAATTTCCAAAGTAACTATGGGTGCTTATTATTTTGTTTGCGTAGACATTGTAAATCCTAACGCAATATTGTTTGTTTCAGATGAGCGGGACGGCACAAGAGGCGGTGGCCAACTCAGGCTACAACTCCGGGGACGAGACGTCCACGCTGCTGGTGCGGGTAGCGGCCAAACCAGTGCTGATGCGACAAGACTGTACCACCACACTGTCCGTGTCCGCCACGCCGCACCTCAGTCACAGCGAGGTACTCATGGGCCAGAGCGAGGAGAGCGGCGGCATGCCTGTGGTGCTCGAGGAGACAGCGCGATCTGTCCCCGACATTGAGATGCACTGCCGCACCGACCACCACCCGTGTCGCGCGCTACCGCGATGTGTCGCGTGCGAGCGTCGCAAGTCCTCCGCGGCGATGGCACGGTCCGTGTCGCGCGAGTCTGTGCGATCGATCCACCCGCCACCCCCAGTGCTCCTCACCACCACACCGAGTTCCCGTATTATCCGCCAGAGTTCTCAGCCCGAAGCGTCACTAGCGACGTGTGGACACTGCTTCAACCACCACCACCACGGCAGCGCCAGCCCGGTGCCTAGCGCCTCGCTGCGGCAACTCCGAGAACCCGGTGATGGCATCGCCATGATCGCCAGCGAGTCGCTGAGGATCAACGGCGCCATCCGACAGTTCAAACAGGTACTGAGTGTGTCGGTTAATATTTCAGCCCCACCTTGGCCTAGTTGTTATTGGCTCCGCCTGGGAAGTGGGAAGTGGACATCGATAATGTTGCAGTCACGCATTCACTCCACACGAAATCATAACTGTTATGTAAACTATTTGGTGAAAGTAAAGCGGAACGTGTCACTTACCGTATAAAGTTATCAGCGTCCACCGTTGCCTTGCAACACTCACTTATTTGCTAACTTATTACAGTTGCTACATCTTACTATCAAGTTCAAATCAAATCAAGTTCAAATCAAATCAAATCAAAATATCATTTATTTCGCAAAAAATAGACGTAACATAATATTATGATCCCTGTACAAAAATATTTACAATATTATTTATTTTTCTAGATTGTATTTAATTTTTGATAAAAGCCTTTAAAACCAAGCGAAATTATCCCCCACAAAGGATAATTTAATCCTGTGAGTGGAAGAGAGTCGTTAGTTTTCTTTAATAATTTTCAAAAATATATCAAAATCAATCTTGCAGATGTTCTATGTAAAATACAGACAATCATGCATATTTACATTTTAAATAATCATCCCAACTGGTAAGCTTATCTAATTTACTTGAGAATGTAGCACAATGACATCTTGCGTCTTATATTGAGAACAATGCCTCAACAGTCTTGTCAAGACTGTCCATAGTGTCCATTGTCTAGAGTCTTATTGTTGCAGTGGATGCGTGACTGTAGCCAGGCTTGGCTTTGGTTGTAGGAGTGGAATGATTATAATAGTGTATGATAGCGGTAGAGGCACGTAGGGCTTGGGGACCCTCCTGTAGTGCGTTCTGCATAACCGACGTTCTGCTTTACCGACGTACTATTGTTCACAAGTACAACTGTACTGATGAACTGTAGTACGTATTGATGCTGTACCGAAAACGTACAGTTGTACCGAATTGCTTCACCACTCCATTTCCAGCACACACGCCAAAATACCTCTTTGTACCCTTGAATAGTAAACTGGTAACCAACTAAAGTTGTACTTTTATGATATATAGGTTAGATTTTCCTAAACCTAAAACCTAGAAAATGAATTCAAATCATAGACTTAGTCTTCTATTAGACATCAAAAGAATCTGACGATTAACACATATTAACAAAATGATAGTATGAAAGTCGTTGTTCATTTTATAAAGTTTTATACTCCATCCACCGAATATCTTAAAGGTGTGGCTTATGACCTTCCAAAAGCCGTTATAAAAACTTAAGTGATTGTAAGCAAAATCTTTGCATTTTAGGCTTTTGGTTGGTTATAGCCTATAACATGGTACTTTACACTAATAGTATATTAATCAGAATCATATTTTCATGTTACTGGGCGCATAAAGCAGCCTATTAAGATACGTTAAAAGATAATTTGTTTATCCACAGACACTAACACAGAACAAGAGGTATTGAGGTAAAGATTTACACTCCTATGCACACACCCTGGCACTGTAGATTTGAGAAAGTTGATTAGACAGCAATACAATATTATATTCCGTGTATATTGGGATTTTTTAGTTTCATATCAGTCATATAAGCACAGTAGATAAATTATGTATCCTGAACCACATACTAGAGAATATACCATAATACGATATGTTTTGTAGTGAAGATTCCAAAATATGGCGTACTAGCTGAGTACCCGTCCTTCGTACGGGGTTGGCATATAAATTGGTGAAAGGCTTATTGCAGTTATACTCAACCTTTGCGTTTGCAATGAGGGAGGACACAGTTTGATCAAATTTGCTTCATAAAATTTATGGCATACTATGGTATTACACATCTACCATAGCCATAATGTTCTTCACTTCACCTAAACAGTAAAAAAAATATATAAAAAAACTCCCAAACAAAATCACAAACTATTAATGACATTAAAAACAAAAACATAACTGTGAACAATCTTTCTTGGACAGTTATTATTGCGTACCACAGTTTTTTTGTTGCTGCTTAGTTCAAATTAGCTGTTTACATAAATGCAATAAACGGTATCAGCATTCTGACACATACTTTCTCCCATAAGTTTGTCAAAAACTTATGAAACATCATGAAATTGTCAAAAACCTTTATCATTAGTAAGTGGTGAGAGTAAATAACTGTATACGCAAATGAGATTTGTAAAATTTTGTTCAGAATTTAAAGGATTATAACATGCTAATTTTTTTTCAAAATCGTTCGGGCCATTTTTGAGGTAATCCGATTTTTCTGTTATTTTAAGGGGGTTTTATGGTAAAATGACATAATTTACAATAACTTTTGAACCGTAATTTTTACAGAAATGTGATTTGTACCATTTTGTTCAGAATATAAAGGACTATAACATACTAAATTTTTTTCAAAATCGTTCGGGCCATTTTTGGGAAAATCATATTTTTTCGTTATTTTATGGGGGTTTTATGGGAAAATCCCCATTAAAAATTAAAATTTTCAAAAGATTAAAAAAAAACTATCAAAACTGTAAGGAGTATAACATACTATGTTAAATCAAAACCGGATGTTTTTCTAAAATCCTATTTTTTGTTATTTTATGGGGTTTTTATGGGAAAATAACATATTTGACCATAACTTTTGAACCGTAATTTTTACAGATATGGGATTTGTACCATTTTATTTAGAATTTAAAGGGCTACAACATACTAAATTTTTATCAAAATCGTTCGGGCCGTTTTCGAGAAAATCTGTTTTTTCCGGTTTTTTATGGGTTTTTATGGGAAAATTCCCATTAAAAATCAAAATTTCAAAAAAATGAAAAAAAACGCCTGGAGATACTATGGATTAGAACCTACATACCAAATTTCATCGAAATCGGACCACAGGTGTGGTCTCTAGCTCTGTACACATCCAGACACACAGACACACACACACCCACACACACACACACACACACACACACACACACAGACATCACTTCGAAAACCACTTTTTTAGGTCCAGGGGGACCCAAAACGAATATATCCACTCAAAATTCAAACTCGAAAATTTTGACGAAAACAATACTTTCTCCATATACTATGGTATAGGGGGAGAAAGTAAAAAGATATAGTGCTGCACCCTGTTGGTAAATCTTATAACTTACTTATACTTTTGCATATCATAGAACCAACTTTTTTAGATGAAACAGCTGACTAAATTCTTTAATTCCCTTTAAATACGAATACTCATAAGGTTAACATGGGGAACTAAAGAGCCACTGGGGCGGAGTCAGAAAGGATTTTTGAGATAAGAATATGCCTAAATGTTAATAGGGAATGTGAGCTATCATCATGCCAAATTTCAGCCTTATCCGTCCAGTAGTTTATGCGTGATTGAGCAACACACAAACATACACACAAACTCACAAACTTTCAGATTTATAATATTAGTAAGATATACGTTATATTCGATATTCAGGATGGGTTTTGTTTGCATACTTAAACCCATCAATACATGGAAGTGTTTAATAGAAGTAAAATTAACATGTCAGATTTTGATTTTCTTTTTTGATTTTTTTTTGCAGCGACATTATTAATATCCGTTCAGCTGCAAAAAAGAAGTGAATTAATAAGCCTTACCTTCATAGGAGTACTAGTTTAGTGTTGGCATTCTTATTATCAATTTTAGATCAATATAGGTTCCAATTTTACAATGCAATTTCTGTAACGTTTAGGATGAACCATTTACATAGCATTTGTTATAATATTTAATATTATTAGTAAATAATGTGATTAGCTATCTATTGAAACTATTTTCCGGCATAATAGATGTGGAACACAATCATTGCAGCAAAAAACTTCGTATGTACCGTAAAAGAAAAATACGGATAGGATACCCATTTTTTTATTCATCCAATTAAATCGGAAAAACTTGTACAATTGGTTTGAATAGTTCTAAAGGTGAATCTTTGAGCTATTGAATTGACTAAAAATTCAGCTATAAGAAACACATTATAAGTGTAATTGTAAGGTATAAGAAAAGTCTCTGGCCATATTAATCAATTTTAAAATGTATATTTTTTTACTGATTACTTATTCCTTAGTTTAAAATAATTAGTTATCGACTGGGATATTGAAATAAGTCCTAAGTATCAATAATATTATACTATGTGTTTCATACGTTTGTGGTTTTTACTTATTATATATCTCAAACTTACGAGTAGGGTTTCTACTGGTGGTAGAAGTTGGGGAAATGAAACCAGCTAAACAAGCAATAAGTGACACCGCAATCAAACGTAGTTTATTTTTTTGCTACTACTATTTTACAATTTCGTATCTCTACCACTTTAAAATCAACAAAACCCTAAGCAACAAGACAGTTTCTTAATGTAATATATATTAAACCACTTCTTTGGCCTTCTCGGTGTTCTATTCAGTAGAGCAATGATTTGATAATTCCATAGTAAATTTATTTATTTTCATTAAAATATATAAACATTCACTTTTTCACAAACTTTTCAGTGAACAAACAGTTATTTTGGTTGTCATAAAAACCCCTTACGACTGTTTGAAGTCTCCATTTAGTCAACGGTTTTTTTTTTTTAAATATGAATTGCCACAATTTTTTTAAGTATTGATAAATTAAACATTTTACTATTAGTTGTATTATAATAAAATGTTTCCAAATCAGTCTTCAATGTTACAAGTTAAGGGAATATTGTGTTAAAAAGTACAGACGGAAACGTAGAACCAAGGGTGCTGGAAGTTGAACTTATATGTCTACAGTGTTTTATAAATTCTTTCGGTCTATAATAAATATAATATATATCCTGGAAGTTTTAATACTCTGAGATGGCTGTAACGAAAATTTTGTAACATTTTAAGATATATTTGTTCATTAACGTTGAAAGTTCATATTTAATTATTCACTTTGGATTCAGTGTGAATTTTGAAGTAAAATTTCTTAGATTTCATCGTTGATAAATTTTTCAAGTTTTTTCAAACAACCTTCTTAAAATCGCAAAAATTACATTTTATATTTTGGCTGTTTTCTTACTAGATTTGTATTT